CACCTATTATCCAACTTAAAAGTAAAAATGTATATATTTTGAAGAGTTTACTAACAAATCTTGAAACAGTTGAAAATATATCTGTATTTTGACATCTTCAACCCTTGTTGAGCTGTCTAATTGCCATAAAAATAAATTTAAGTTGTGTATTGCCTATTAAACTCAAAAAAGAATAATTTGCGGAACAATATTGGCAGCCTGTTTTTACATAAGAATTAACTGCTGCACCATATACATGATTAGGTATCTAATTTTCAGGGCTGTAATGTTAACATTACAAATCTATATTATGTTAATACTATATAGTTCTATGTAATAAGATTTTGAAAAAAAATATAAAAAGACTAGCATGCATACTAGGTATGTGGTAGTTTGAATGTGAATGCTGTTGTATTGTTTTAGGTGCAGTTGTTTGGGATCTTCTGTTTCCACTAAGTGACAATATGGTTTACTTTTGCTATACTGGTCTGAAAATAGTTTGCTGAAAACACTGGGCTTACTGTTGGAACTATCTAACATGTAAATGCCTAGTCTTTGAATATTCTATTTGAAAACTACATTATGGCTTGTTTCTTTTTTGTTTTAGTTCATTACACTATATGAGTTGGTTCAATCTTTTAATTTTTAAATATGTACAAGGGCCCTTTTTTTTTTACAAAACTATATTTTCAGTTATAATTCTGTCATAATCGACCAGAACCACATGAGTCTTAACATCTTCGGTAATTTAATGGCAATTCATTCTTAAGCCATGCAGTAAGGAGACACAGTAATACCAGGGCTGTTGCTTCCCTTATGTAACTTGCAGCTGATTTGGTGAGTGGTTAGGGTTGAGGATCACAAAAAAAATCTTTGTGCTTTCTGCTAGAACAGAGTTCTGGTACCCAAAGGGAAAGGTGGCACTTTCTTATGGTGTATACTGTCTGCTTGTGCAATTTATTTGAAACATATTCAATAAACTGATAGCTTTTTATTTCATGTATGCCAGCACTGACGTGCTTACTTGAGTAGTTATTGTACTATGCATGGCAGACTAAAATCATACCGTTCTTGGGGTTTTAAACAACAAAATATACAATTAAACAAATTATTTCCTGTCAACTGAAACTTCAACCACATCATGGTCTTTACTCATCTTTGAGCAGATATTAGTCATTTTAGCTACTTCTGCGACATCTCTAGACCTGCATCTGTATGAATCAACTTACATTCTGACATGATAGTATCTATAGCAGTGCTCTGTGTCCTACTTAGCTAATCTATTCCATTTGAATATCTCAGTGTGCTGGTAAAGGAAAGATAATTCAGTAACTTACAAGCTTTTACTTACAATATTGTGCTTGAATTCATTTTATAAATATTTTTTTTTCCTTTTACATTGTCGTTTGTAATCCTTTGTAGACATTGATAGGATTCTGAGAATTGTTAACAGTTATTACATTGCTTATGTATAGTAGTTGTTCTGTACATGTAAGGTATTTTAATACCTTTTAAGGGGCATTGTGTATAGCAATTGCCTTAATTTTATAAGAGACATTTCTTGAAGCTGTCACTGAATGTGAATTATAAAGAGATTTATGTATTTATATATATATATAGATCTAGCAAGTAAAGTCAATCATACACTTTTGTTCACCGAATCTATTTGATCCAAGAGATAACCTTATTTTTTTAATAGTTCTCTAATCTGTAAGCTAATAAACCTCTGACCCTAGAACAAAGCAAAAGTCTATTACTTAATGACAAGGTATATATTTAACAGTTCCACTTGTGGCATACAATCAGGCTGAATACTAACTTTTAAATATATATTTGTGTGAAATATAGAAATTAAAAAGTGGAATAATTTATTTCATCACCATATATGTGTAAACATAAAGTAGAGTGCTATTACTTCTACATTTGTGGCACCAGTGGTCAACCAGTGGTCAACCAGTGGTCAACTGCGTCAGTCATATCCTTGTGTGATAATCCTCTAACGGAATAATGGCTTGTATTTGTGCAATAATGACAGTAGGTAAAGGATTTTACAAACATATGTGGTATATGGTGTGACATGAAGCTGTTTTCTGTGCCGGTCCCTAAAGATTATGCAGTTTTATAAACATTAATATGTTTGTATTCTGGGCTGGTGGCTGTGATTCAGTATTGTGAAAGCCTTTACCAAAACTATGCACATAGAAACAATTTCTGAGGTCATATGACTTATAACTGTATTTCAGTAACACTAATTAAGTTGGCATATGGAGTCCAATGTTAAGGAAAAAGGCACCTTCCCAGCAAGCAAATTGTGCAGGATCATTTATGTCTACTTAATATAGGATACTGCAGTTTCCAGCCGTGCGTTAGTAAATATCCATATTTTTTTCAGTCTATAGTCAGAAAGTGAATTAACTAAACATTAGTCTGCCAATTTTCAACATCTACATTTAGGTCACCTACAGTCAAACACCGATTCCCTTTTGTTATTTTGTTATGTAATCTGACATTCTTTCCTCGATGACTTTATTAAAATACTTATGTTGTAATTATAATGTTAGGAGAGATAGATCATTATCAAATCATTAATAGAAAAAAAATTGCCTTAATAAACAGATTTTTTAAAAAAAAATGTTTGTATAAAATCAATTTTTTTTTAAACCTGTGAGTTTTGTATATAGCGAAGGGACAAGTCATTTTTATATTCTGTTAGTTTGTATAAATTGCAAAGTTACCAACACTTGCATGAATTCATTTTCTACACCAACATGCTGGTACTATAATTATTAGAACTTCTTAAAGGGTACCTGTCACCAAGGAAAGAGCCTTTTGACATGCTGGTTTTTACTAACTAAAAAGCAGCATGTTTTTACCAAATCTGTCAGTATCTTTATATTACAATGCAATTTGGTCTTGCTACAGATAATTTTAATAGTTTTATGTCTATTTATCTGTCTTGCTACAGAACATTGTCCAGTGCTTGTGACTCTACTGAACATTATATAAAAATTCAGATTTGAAATAAAAGGCACCATAGCAACTGATTTTCTGGTGCTGAATATTCTCACTAGGCTTTGTGAGTTTAAACTTCAAATTTAGTTGTTGATTATTTGTAGCCTCTTCACATGTGACAGGTTCACTTTAATGCTTGAGCATTTGCGTTAGCAAAGTTCCTTTATAAAATGATGACATCCACAAAAGCAAAAGGTCAATAGCACCATGTATTATGTATGTGCATGTCTTGTACTACTTATTTAGCATGCTCTTGCTGTTGTCTTTAAACACTCATGCTTACACTGTGTCATTTCATGTAGTTTAGCAAGTTTGAAGTCCATTGCAATTATCTTATGTTTTCTGTTATATAAAAATACTCAGATGTTACTCAGAAACATTGACCTAATGTGTAGAAAAACATGCCAGAATGTGGCACCAGTTATTGCAGCGTTTAAAATTATAACTTAGATAAAGCTTTGTTTATTGAACTTCTTTTCTGATATGTTTAAAAGGAAAACTGCAACTAAAAAGTATCTAACAGCATGGCCATTTGCATGTGAAGTCTAAGAAATTCATGGGGTTTAAATGAGTTATTTCCCAATCAGACTTGGACCAAAGGAAGTGCAAACTTTGACTGGTTCATTTAATCATTGTATCTTTTATTTGAATTATTGTTGTGGTTTTCCTTTACTGTACATTTTCGAATTTTCATATAAATTAGCCATAGTATTTTGTGTTTTCTTAGAGTTTATAGTATTATTATTGTGTTTCTCATTTGTCTTTTTTGTAGCATGTATTGTCTAATGTATACTCTGCTGATTTCTTTCTTTTTATTTCTCATCATCCTATGCATTAAATCATTGAAGAACCAGAGCGTTATAGTTCATCTTCAACAGGTAAATATCAACCACTCTTGAATACCTTCAAGTTCAGTGCTCTGCAAAATAGAAACATCCAAAGAATCATTTTTCATTTTTTGCATTTAGTTATAAACAAAGGGGTTTATTCATTTGATCAAACGTCTTATCTTTGTTTAGTAAACAACACACAAATACCCAAAGCAAAACTTTATTATATGACCCATAACTCTAAATTGACTGTTAAAGCTGAACTCAAATCAAACAGCCAAATACATAGATGAAATACACAGAAGAGGACTGCTTTACCTACAAAAGGATTTGTATTTTTTTTCCATCCAGTCCTGATAATTTCATAGTATTACCACCCAACACAGTCTTCTCTGAAAGCATAGGGGACCTGATATTTCCATGCTGCAGGTAAAGTGGTAGAAAAGCCTTTGTAACAATGTAAAAAAATGGCCCATAATGTTTATGTCATAATCTTCTAGTATGCACTGCATACTAGTACATTATGGCAAACTTCCCTTCTAATGTAGCCCTCCAGTGCAGCACTGTCACAGCTTCTCCGGTGCTTCCATCTTCCCCTGGTCTTCTTTCAGAGTTTCATATCTTCGGCCACTTGAATGTCTGGGCCAAGGTGATGTCACTCCCATGCATGTGGTCTGAGCTGTGCATGTGTGGCTCAGATCACATTACAAACTGACAGACAGGAGGGTATTTATAACAGGATCTGTTATGTTTTAAAAAAAACCTGCCTGTCAGCAGATTTTGCAGTTCTTCAATTTACTACCACTTTAAGTAAACCCAGACTGGCAAGCTGTCATTCTGCTCTCTCCTCCCAAGAACATGTCCCTGTTAGCACATTAGCACTGCAGTGATGCTTCTCCTCCATCCTAGTTTTAGCTCTGCTATACAGAGACTACAAGAGGCTGAAACCAGATCATATTCAGGTGCTTATGCTGTTGGTATTTAACCGCCTCCCGCCCGCCATATAGTAATATGACGGACGCAAGGCGGTTCTCTCGTCCTCCTATTCTCACCGCTCATGCGTGGCTCCGGGAGCGCGCAGCGCGGTGATCGGTGGTGCGCTGTGTCCCCCTCGGACTCAGCGGATCACCGATCACGTAAAGAGCCGAAGATGTCGGCTCGGTCATGTGATCAGCTGTGTCCAATCACAGCTGATCACATGTAAACAGGGAAATGCTGGTTATCGGCATTTCTGTCCTCATGAGCTGTCACGCTGACAGCTCGTGAGGAGAGGAGAGCCGGTAATCGGCATTCCTCGGTGGGCACATCTACACAGATCATCAGAGCACTGATGATCAGTGTGCCCTGGTGATCTGTGTAGCCCCAGCAGCGCCACCTGTGAGTGTCCATCAGTGCCAACTCTGTGCTCATCCATGCTACCTGCCAGTGCCAATTAGTGCCACATCAGTGCTACATTTCAGTGCCACATATCAGTGCCCATCTGAGATGCTTTTCAGTGTCACCCATCAGTGCCAGTCAGTGCCACCTATCAATGCCAGTCAGTGCTGGCAATCAGTGCCACCTATCAGTGCTAGTCAGTGCTGCCTATCAGTGCCAGTCAGTGACGCCTATCAGTGTGCATCAGTGTCGCCTATCAGTGCCCGTGAGTGCCACCTATCAGTGCCAGTCAGCGCCGCCTATCAGTGCCATATATGAGTGCTGCCTTTCAGTGCCCATCAGTGATGTCTGTCAATGCCCATCAGTGCCACCTACCAGTGCCTCCTCGTCAGTGCCCATCACTGCAGCCTATCAGTGCCCATCACTGCAGCCTCATTAGCGCACATCAGTGAAGGAGAAAAATCACTTATTTACAAAATTTTATAACAAAAACTAAGAAAAAACTTTTTTTCCCCCCAAAATTTTCAGTGGTTTTTGGTTTGTTTAAGAAAAAATAAAAAACCCAGAGGTGACTAAATACCACCAAAATAAAGCGCTATCTGTCACAAAAAAAATGATACAAATTTCATATGGGTACAGTGTTGCATGACCACGCAATTGTCATTCAAAGTGCAACAGCGCTGAAAGCTGGAAGTTGGCCTGGGCAGGAAGGGGGTATAAGTGCCCTGTAGGTTAGTGGTTAAAGTAGAAAATATAACTATAAAATCCTCATCTTTTAAATGATAGCTTCCGACTACATTTTGGAATAAATTGCAAATACTGATCGTGTTTACCTTTACTCAAATACAGTATGTAAATGTATGTGTCATGTCTTTCTTTGCGTTTCGGGGGACTGCAAAGGTCTGGTTTCTCTGTGTAAATGAGCAGCTGCTGCGTGTGACCTCTCTCCCCAGCTAGCAGTGAGGTCACCGGAGAGTGACCTTACTGCTCTATGTGATTCTGCCCCGTTATCAGCCTTCTACATTTACACAGAGGAGCTGGACCACATAGAAAAATATGACCAAAAAGTATTCGCACTGTGATTTATGCTAAAATATATGCAGTAAGCAATAGAAAGACAGCATTTAAAAGGTGAGATATTGTATAGCCTTAACTTGTCCCTAATAAAAAATGCATTAATAATGTATCAATTAATATATTTTTTCCGTTTTATAACTGCTTGGCATTCAATTCACATTTAATAATAATTTAAAATTTAGCCTTGCAAATTTAATATAGAATTATAGGAATAGAGAAAGGTAGTGTAGCTTAGCAAATAACAAAGCTCAATAAGAAGACTTCCCACAGTTAGATCATTTTACCATGCAAATAAGTTCAGTTTTAAAATAGGTTCTTAGGTTCACCCTGCCTGCACTTACTTTTCACCTATCACTATTCTGAACAGCCTCACTGAACAATCAGGAGAAGTAGGAGGGACTGGGCCAAAGCAACAAAAATAAAGTAACCAAGCAAGGTATATGCACAGATCCACTGAATTAATTAATTAATTAATTAAATTAATTAAATTAATTAAATTAATTAATACAATTTCCTTCTAGCAGTTTAGTTCTTTAAATTGTATGTCTAGCCAAAACGTTTTTTGTTTGTTTTAATCTTGGATGAAGAGTCAAAGCGTTAGACCCCTGTTTTGTTTTTTTGTAGCTATCTTTGCTGATAACATTTCCCCTCTCTTACTATATTGCTGACAATTTGTTTTGTCGGAAAGTACATAAGGGGAATTCTCCAACAGCAACACAGAAAAAAACACTCTTTTAGTAGCATAGGAAAGGCAACAACCACCATTCACCGGTTGCAAATTTTCCCTCTCTTGGCACCTTTGAATGGCACCTCAGCATGCAAGTAGAGATCACTGGAGTCTACATCAGTGATTTCCAGCTTCCAGGGAAATCTGCGAGGTATGGTATGTCCATAATAAATATTAAAAATGTGTTGTGCTATCACTTTAAATTTACAATCCAAATACAATGCATATATACCTCAACTCAAAACAGGTGTTCAAAAAGTGACAAAGGCAAAAGAAAAAGATTTATTTGTAAACATGCGTAAATAGTGAAAACAGTAGTGAAAAAGTACAATTTGCATTAGTTACAATCAAATGCAGTGAACAGGCATATATGAAAACTTGCTTCACTGTGCTCCCAGCCACTTATGACGTCAATTCTCACAAAACGTGCCAGGCAGAGCATACAATTTGTACAATAGAAATAGACGAGCGCTGGGTGAATAATAATGTAAAAATAGCTGCCGGCATACACAGGTAAGCTGCTAAGACCTAAAAATCACATTTGTATATAAAATTATGCAGCGCTAAAAGAAGATGAGTAATCATAAATAGTCCATGACTAAAATTGACATAAAGCAAAGTCTCAATGACATAGAAGGTGTTGAACACCAAAGGGGTAGACCCCAATCTCAGGTGTGTGACACAGAAGGTGTATAAAGTGACATAAGTGATACAGTAGATGGAACTTGTGATAAAAAAAATCTGTGACTCCTGTGGTGTGAGAATGGATGTGGATTGCACTAACCAGATAGCACAATCGCTTGTGCATGGAGTATATAAGACCTACTCCTGGCTCTCTGGATCTGGAACACTGCAGACGGATGAAGTCATCAGGGCAGCAACCACCAGGTGTCATACATCCGGGTAAAGTAACCAGCCTCCAGATATGCCGATAACAGCCACCAGTGGAATCATGTACATTGGCATGGGTCAGGAACACAGAAATCACCTTCAAAGAGTGGGAATCGAAAGAAAAAACGAGCCCAAGCAGAAAGCCTCCAATGGTGTAGTATTTTTATTAGTCAAAACAAAGTATAAAAGATAAATCACACTTACGTAAAAATCCAAGATGGCCACCGGCCATCCATAAAGGCCATGCGGTGTGTACACAATACTTAGGGGCACCTCTCTAACGCGTTTCGTGTTCAGACACTTTATCAAAGGGAGACACACGCTGAATGGCGTAGCTTTTCATAGTGGAAGGGTATGATCAGCTGCATTACACACAGGTTCTGTGATTTTCACTATTGTTTTCACTATTTATGATTGTTTACAAAATGTTTTTTTCTTTTGCACTTGTCACTTTTTTGCACTTTTTTTGAGTTGAAGAATATATGCATTGCATTTGGCTTGTCAATTTAAAGTGATAGCACAACACATTTTTCATACTTATTATTGTTTAATATCTATTTGTGTATATTTTGTGGGTGCTGCTGTCTGCTTTTACTAGTTATCAATTTAATTTGATTATAATTAACAGTTCAGAGTCTACTCGAATTTCGGAATGATATATCCATACTTACGTTGGTCCAAGGTGAACCAATGTAGCAATGTATTAAATAGCTATACTTTAAATTCCTCTTAAAACCTCTTACTTTTAATAAACCAGTCTCGTGTCAGCTCCCTACGTTGTCGTAGTTGCAGCTGATACTACAGAAACTACAGATATGACAGGATATATGTATTTCAAGACATTCTGTGATTGAAGGAGAGAGATCGAGATAATCAACTGTACCTCCTTGCTTCACAGAACGCCTTGCATTTTGTGAAAAGAATGCAAGGCTTTTTCTTAATGGTGCACAAGCCACAGCTGCTTAGTAGTGTTGGGCTTTATGTTCGAGTCTAAGGTAAGTTCAACTCAAACATTGGCCGTTCATGTGTTCGCTGAACACATGAACAGTAAGGGCATTTGGCGGGCTATTCGCCTGCCGCACCCCACAATGCACTGTGCCCTGACAGTGCATTGTGATTGGCCAAAGCAATGCACCAGACCATAGGTCAGGTGCAATGCTTTGGCCAATCACAGCGCGTGATCACGACACAAGGGGGCGGGGGTCCCAGCCCCCTTGTGACGTCATCACAGTATTTAAGAACTGTCATCACGGTGCAGCTGTCAGAAAGTAGGAGCCAGCATTGAGAGAGGAGCGTGTTTTTTTTTTCTTTTTTGGGGTCGGTGGTGGTGGTGGCGGGCATCATGATTGATGTGGGATCTACTTCAGAGGACTTTTTTTTTTTTGTTTTTATTAAAGGACTTGTCAAAGACTATCTCCTCTAATTTTAAACTACACTTTTTTTTTGTGAATGAGTAGCGGTACCATGTGCTGCATACTCATTCACATGGGGGTATCTGGCGGCCCCTTGTTAAAGGGGGCTTCCAGATTCCAATAAGCCCCCTGTCCGCAGACTCCCACAACCACCAGCCAGGGTTGTGGGGAAGAGGCCCTGTCCTCATCAACATTGGGACAAGGGGTGCTATGGTACTTTGGGAGGGGCCCTGCCCCAAAGCACCCCCCGTCCATGTTGAGGGCATGTTTCCTGGTATGGTTCAGGAGGGGGGAGCACTCACTCATCCCCCATAGCACTCAGAGTGGGGAGGGGGCAGGATAGCTGGCTGGAGACCCGAGAAGAGGCGGATTGGGGCTGCTGTGTGCAAAACCATTGCACAGAGCAAGTAAGTATCCCATGAGGGAACTTACTAAAACTGGAGTTTACAAAATCTGGTGCAGCTCTCCATAAAAACTTCAAGGTTCTGTTGTTAGAGCGTAATTGAACAAGCTGAATTTAAAAGCTGATTGGCTACCATGCACATCTGCACCAGATTCTGGGTGCTCCAGTTTTAGTACATATCCTTCCATGTTCATTAATTTAAAAAATGTCCCTTTACGATCACTTTAAGTATACATTTCATTCAATTTCCTGTTAATATTTGTCTCTTAGTTTGAGCAAATACTATTAGATCCAGCAGCAGGTTATTGTGAAGTTTAGGTGTTGCTTTAGTTGATGGTGTAAGAGCTCTTGTACACAGGCTGGCTGAGCCCGTTCAGCATAACTGCCATTGTGTTTCTTCTGACCGGCAGCCCAGGTGCAGCGTAACAGTCTGTTTGCACTTTTTACCTCCACAGCTCAATGTTTCAAAAAATCAAATACTAAAAACCTGACATCTGTACTCTGGTCAGGTCAGAACATTTTCTTCTATGAGAAAGAATGCAAGTTCCAAATATTGTTGGCAACTTTAAATAACATTCCACTTATCACTAATTTACTGAACCCAGTAATTATCAAATATATCAATAATATTGTGTTTACTTTTGCATATAATAAAAAATACTTTTACAAGAGATTTTAAAGTG